CACGTCCACGTCCATGTCCACGTCCATGTCCACTTCCACGTCCACGTCCATGTCCACGTCCACGTCCACGTCTACGTCCACGTCAACGTCCATGTCCACCTCCAAGTCCTCCACGTCCACGTCCACGTCCATGTCCACGTCCACGTCCACGTCCACGTCCACGTCCACGTCCATGTCCACGTCCACGTCCAAGTCCACGTCCACGTCCACGTCCACGTCCACGTCCACGACCACGTCCACGTCCACGTCCACGTCCACGTCCACGTCCTCGTCCACGTCCACGTCCACGTCCATCTCCACGTCCACGTCCATGTCCACGTCCACGTCAACGTCCACGTCCATGTCCACGTCCTCCACGTCCACGTCCACGTCCACGTCCATGTCCACGTCCACGTCCACGTCCACGTCCATGACCATGTCCACGTCCACGTCCACGTCTACGTCCACGTCCACGTCTACGTCTACGTCCACGTCCATGTCCATGTCCACGTCCACGCCCACGCCCACGTCCACGTCCACGTCCACGCCCACGTCCACGTCCACGTCCATGTCCACGTCCACGTCCATGTCCACGTCCATGTCCACGTCCACGTCCATGTCCACGTCCACGTCCACGTCCACGTCCATGTCCACGTCCACGTCCATGTCCACGTCCACGTCCATGTCCACGTCCATGTCCACGTCCACGTCCACGTCCATGTCCACGTCCACGTCCACGTCTACGTCCACGTCCACGTCCACGTCCACGTCTACGTCTACGTCCACGTCCACGTCCATGTCCACCTCCATGTCCACCTCCACGTCCATGTCCACGTCCATGTCCACGTCCATGTCCACGTCCATGTCCACGTCCACGTCCACGTCCACGTCCACGTCCACGTCCATGTCCACGTCCTCCACGTCCACGTCCACGTCCACGTCCACGTCCACGTCCACGTCCACGTCCATGTCCACGTCCACGTCCACGTCCACGTCCACGTCCACGTCCACGACCATGTCCACGTCCACGTCCACGTCCACGTCCACGTCCATGTCCATGTCCACGTCCACGTCCACGTCCACGTCCACGTCCACGTCCAAGTCCACGTCCATGTCAACGTCCAAGTCCACGTCCATGTCAACGTCCACGTCCACGTCCATGTCCACGTCCACGTCCACGTCCAGGTCCACGTCCACGTCCACGTCCACGTCCACGTCCACGTCCACGTCCACGTCCAGGTCCATGTCCACGTCCATGTCCACGTCCACGTCCACGTCCACGTCCATGTCCACTTCCACGTCCATGTCCACGTCCACGTCCACTTCCACGTCCACGTCCATGTTCACGTCCACGTCCACGTCCACCTCCACGTCCATGTTCACGTCCACGTCCACGTCCACGTCCACGTCCATGTCCACGTCCACGTCCATGTCCACGTCCATGTCCACGTCCACGTCCACGTCCATGTCCACGTCCACGTCCACGTCCACGTCCACGTCCACGTCCACGTCCACGTCCATGTCCACGTCCACGTCCATGTCCACGTCCACGTCCATGTCCACGTCCACGTCCACGTCCATGTCCACGTCCACGTCCACGTCCACGTCCACGTCCATGTCCACGTCCACGTCCATGTCCACTCCACGTCCATGTCCACCTCCATGTCCTCCACGTCCACGTCCACGTCCATGTCCATGTCCACGTCCACGTCCACGTCCACGTCCATGTCCACGTCCACGTCCACCTCCACGTCCATGTCCACGTCCACCACCATGTCCATGTCCACGTCCACGTCCATCTCCACGTCCACGTCCACGTCCAAGTCCACGTCCACGTCCACGTCCACGTCCACGTCCATCTCCACGTCCACGTCCAGGTCCACGTCCACGTCAACGTCCACGTCCATGTCCACGTCCTCCACGTCCACGTCCACGTCCATGTCCACGTCCACGTCCATGTCCACGTCCATGTCCACGTCCACGTCCACGTCCACGTCCACGACCATGTCCACGTCCACGTCCACGTCCACGTCCATGTCCACGTCCACGTCCACGTCCACGTCCACGTCCACGTCCACGTCCATGTCCACGTCCACGTCCATGTCCACGTCCATGTCCACTTCCACGTCCACGTCCATGTCCACGTCCACGTCCACGTCTACGTCCACGTCAACGTCCATGTCCACCTCCAAGTCCTCCACGTCCACGTCCACGTCCATGTCCACGTCCACGTCCACGTCCACGTCCACGTCCACGTCCATGTCCACGTCCACGTCCAAGTCCACGTCCACGTCCACGTCCACGTCCACGTCCACGACCACGTCCACGTCCACGTCCACGTCCACGTCCACGTCCTCGTCCACGTCCACGTCCACGTCCATCTCCACGTCCACGTCCATGTCCACGTCCACGTCAACGTCCACGTCCATGTCCACGTCCTCCACGTCCACGTCCACGTCCACGTCCATGTCCACGTCCACGTCCACGTCCACGTCCATGACCATGTCCACGTCCACGTCCACGTCTACGTCCACGTCCACGTCTACGTCTACGTCCACGTCCACGTCCATGTCCACGTCCACGCCCACGCCCACGTCCACGTCCACGTCCACGCCCACGTCCACGTCCACGTCCATGTCCACGTCCACGTCCATGTCCACGTCCATGTCCACGTCCACGTCCATGTCCACGTCCACGTCCACGTCCACGTCCATGTCCACGTCCACGTCCATGTCCACGTCCACGTCCATGTCCACGTCCATGTCCACGTCCACGTCCACGTCCATGTCCACGTCCACGTCCACGTCTACGTCCACGTCCACGTCCACGTCCACGTCTACGTCTACGTCCACGTCCACGTCCATGTCCACCTCCATGTCCACCTCCACGTCCATGTCCACGTCCATGTCCACGTCCATGTCCACGTCCATGTCCACGTCCACGTCCACGTCCACGTCCACGTCCACGTCCACGTCCATGTCCACGTCCTCCACGTCCACGTCCACGTCCACGTCCACGTCCACGTCCACGTCCACGTCCATGTCCACGTCCACGTCCACGTCCACGTCCACGTCCACGTCCACGACCATGTCCACGTCCACGTCTACGTCCACGTCCACGTCCATGTCCATGTCCACGTCCACGTCCACGTCCACGTCCACGTCCACGTCCACGTCCACGTCCACGTCCACTTCCACGTCCACGTCCACGTCCACCTCCACGTCCAGGTTCACGTCCACGTCCACGTCCACGTCCACGTCCACGTCCACGCCCACGTCCACGTCCACGTCCACGTCCATGTCCACGTCCACGTCCACGTCCACGTCCACGTCCACGTCCACGTCCATGTCCACGTCCACGTCCACGTCCAGGTCCATGTCCACCTCCAAGTCCTCCACGTCCACGTCCACGTCCATGTTCACGTCCACGTCCACGTCCACGTCCACGTCCACGTCCACGACCATGTCCACGTCCACGTCCACGTCCATGTCCACGTCCACGTCCACGTCCACGTCCACGTCCATGTCCACGTCCACGTCCACGTCCACGTCCATGTCCACGTCCACGTCCACGTCCACGTCCACCTCCATCTCCACGTCCACGTCCATGTCCACGTCCACGTCAACGTCCACGTCCATGTCCACGTCCTCCACGTCCACGTCCACGTCCATGTCCACGTCCACGTCCACGTCCATGTCCATGTCCACGTCCACGTCCACGTCTACGTCCACGTCTACGTCCACGTCCACGTCCACGTCTACGTCTACGTCCACGTCCACGTCCATGTCCACCTCCATGTCCACCTCCACGTCCATGTCCACGTCCATGTCCACGTCCATGTCCACGTCCATGTCCACCTCCACGTCCACGTCCACGTCCACCTCCACGTCCAGGTTCACGTCCACGTCCACGTCCACGTCCACGTCCACGTCCACGCCCACGTCCACGTCCACGTCCACGTCCATGTCCATGTCCACGTTCAAGTCTACGTCCACGTCCACGTCCACGTCCATCTCCACGTCCACGTCCACGTCCACATCCTCCACGTCCACGTCCACGTCCACGTCCACGTCCACCTCCACGTCCATGTTCACGTCCACGTCCACGACCACGTCCACGTCCACGTCCACATCCACGTCCACGTCCACGCCCACGTCCACGTCCACGTCCACGTCCACGTCCACGTCCATCTCCACGTCCACGTCCATGTCCACGTCCACGTCAACGTCCACGTCCATGTCCACGTCCTCCACGTCCACGTCCACGTCCATGTCCACGTCCACGTCCACGTCCACGTCCATGTCCATGTCCACGTCCACGTCCACGTCTACGTCCACGTCCACGTCCACGTCTACGTCCACGCCCACGTCCACGTCCACGTCCACGCCCACGTCCACGTCCACGTCCACGTCCATGTCCACGCCCACGTCCACGTCCACGTCCACGTCCATGTCCACGTCCATGTCCACGTCCACGTCCACGTCCACTTCCATGTCCACGTCCACGTCCACGTCCACGTCCATGTCCACGTCCACGTCCATGTCCACGTCCACGTCCATGTCCACGTCCATGTCCATGTCCACGTCCACGTCCACGTCCATGTCCACGTCCACGTCCACGTCTACGTCCACGTCCACGTCCACGTCTACGTCTACGTCCACGTCCACGTCCATTTCCACCTCCATGTCCACCTCCACGTCCATGTCCACGTCCATGTCCACGTCCATGTCCACGTCCATGTCCACGTCCACGTCCACGTCCACGTCCACGTCCATCTCCACGTCCTCCATGTGCACGTCCACGTCCACGTCCACGTCCATGTCCACGTCCACGTCCACGTCCACGTCCACGTCCATGACCATGTCCACGTCCACGTCCACGTCCACGTCCACGTCAATGTCCACGTCCACGTCCACGTCCATGTCCACGTCCACGTCCACGTCCACGACCAGGTCCACGTCCATCTCCATGTCCACGTTCAAGTCTACGTCCAGGACGTGGACGTGGACGCGGACGTGGAGATGGACGTGGACGTGGACGTGGACGTAGGCTTGAACGTGGAAATGGACGTGGACGTGGACGTGGACGTAGACGTGGACGTGGACGTGGACGTGGACGTGGGCGTGGACGTGGACGTGGACGTGGACGTGGACGTGGACCTGGACGTGGACGTGGACGTGGACCTGGTCGTGGACGTGGACGTGGAGGACGTGGACGTGGACGTGGACGTGGAGATGGACGTGGACGTGGACGTGGACGTGGACGTAGACTTGAACGTGGACGTGGACGTGGACGTGGACGTGGACATGGACGTGGACGTGGACGTGGACATGGACGTGGACGTGGACGTGGACCTGGACCTGGTCGTGGACGTGGACGTCGACGTGGACGTGGACGTGGACGTGGACATGGACGTGGAGGACGTGGACATGGACGTTGACGTGGACGTGGACGTGGACGTGGAGATGGACGTGGACGTGGACGTGGACGTGGACTTGGACGTGGACGTGGACGTGGACGTGGACGTGGACGTGGACATGGACGTGGACGTGGACGTGGACGTGGACGTGGACGTGGACGTGGACGTGGACGTGGACATGGACGTGGACGTGGACGTGGACATGGACGTGGACGTGGACGTGGACGTGGACATGGACGTGGACGTGGACGTGGACATGGACGTGGACGTGGACGTGGACGTGGACGTGGACATGGACGTGGACGTGGACGTGGACGTGGACGTGGACGTGGTCGTGGACGTGGACATGGACATGGACGTGGACGTGGACGTGGAGGACGTGGACGTGGACATGAACGTGGACGTGGACGTGGACGTGGACGTGGACGTGGACGTGAACATGGACGTGGACGTGGACGTGGAGGACTTGGAGGTGGACATGGACGTGGACGTGGACATGGACGTGGACGTGGACGTGGACGTGGACATGGACGTGGACGTGGACGTGGACGTGGACGTGGACGTGGACGTGGAGGACTTGGAGGTGGACATGGACGTGGACGTGGACGTGGAGATGGACGTGGACGTGGACGTGGACGTGGACGTAGACGTGGACGTGGACGTGGAGATGGACGTGGACGTGGACGTGGACATGGACGTGGACGTGGACGTGGACGTGGACGTGGACGTGGACGTGGACGTGGACGTGGACATGGACGTGGACGTGGACGTGGACATGGACGTGGACGTGGACGTGGACGTGGACATGGACGTGGACGTGGACATGGACGTGGACGTGGACGTGGACGTGGACGTGGAGGACGTGGACATGGACGTGGACGTTGACGTGGACGTGGACATGGACGTGGACGTGGAGATGGACGTGGACGTGGACGTGGACGAGGACGTGGACGTGGACGTGGAGATGGACGTGGACGTGGACGTAGACGTGGACGTGGACGTGGAGATGGACGTGGACGTGGACGTGGAGGACTTGGAGGTGGACATGGACGTGGACGTGGACGTGGAGATGGACGTGGACGTGGACGTGGACGTGGACGTAGACGTGGACGTGGACGTGGAGATGGACGTGGACGTGGACGTGGACATGGACGTGGACGTGGACGTGGACGTGGACGTGGACGTGGACGTGGACGTGGACGTGGACATGGACGTGGACGTGGACGTGGACATGGACGTGGACGTGGACGTGGACGTGGACATGGACGTGGACGTGGACATGGACGTGGACGTGGACGTGGACGTGGACGTGGAGGACGTGGACATGGACGTGGACGTTGACGTGGACGTGGACATGGACGTGGACGTGGAGATGGACGTGGACGTGGACGTGGACATGGACGTGGACGTGGACATGGACGTGGACGTGGACGTGGACGTAGACGTGGACGTGGACGTGGAGATGGACGTGGACGTGGACGTGGACATGGACGTGGACGTGGACGTAGACTTGAACGTGGACGTGGACGTGGACGTGGACGTGGACATGGACGTGGACGTGGACGTGGACATGGACGTGGACGTGGACGTGGACCTGGACCTGGTCGTGGACGTGGACGTCGACGTGGACGTGGACGTGGACGTGGACATGGACGTGGAGGACGTGGACATGGACGTGGACGTTGACGTGGACGTGGACGTGGACGTGGAGATGGACGTGGACGTGGACGTGGACGTGGACTTGGACGTGGACGTGGACGTGGACGTGGACGTGGACGTGGACATGGACGTGGACGTGGACGTGGACGTGGACGTGGACGTGGACGTGGACGTGGACGTGGACATGGACGTGGACGTGGACGTGGACATGGACGTGGACGTGGACGTGGACGTGGACATGGACGTGGACGTGGACGTGGACATGGACGTGGACGTGGACGTGGACGTGGACGTGGACATGGACGTGGACGTGGACGTGGACGTGGACGTGGACGTGGACGTGGTCGTGGACGTGGACATGGACATGGACGTGGACGTGGACGTGGAGGACGTGGACGTGGACATGAACGTGGACGTGGACGTGGACGTGGACGTGGACGTGGACGTGGACGTGGACGTGAACATGGACGTGGACGTGGACGTGGAGGACTTGGAGGTGGACATGGACGTGGACGTGGACATGGACGTGGACGTGGACGTGGACGTGGACATGGACGTGGACGTGGACGTGGACGTGGACGTGGACGTGGACGTGGAGGACTTGGAGGTGGACATGGACGTGGACGTGGACGTGGACGTGGACGTGGACGTGGACGTGGACGTGGACATGGACGTGGACGTGGACGTGGAGGTGGACGTGGACGTGGACGTGGGCGTGGACGTGGACGTGGACGTGGACGTGGACGTGAACCTGGACGTGGAGGTGGACGTGGACGTGGACGTGGACGTGGACGTGGACGTGGACATGGACGTGGACGTGGACGTGGGCCTAGCCTGTGCCAAATTGCAAGAACAAAGGCCTAGTGTGTGCAAAATTGGAAGAACAAGTGCCTAGCGTGTGCAAAATTGGAAGAACAAGGGCCTAGCGTGTGCAAAATTGCAAGAACAAGGGCCTAGTGTGTGCGAAATTGGAAGAACAAGGACCTAGCGCGTGCCAAATTGCAAGAACAATGTTCTAGTGTGTGCAAAATTGGAAGAACAAGTGCCTAGCATGTGCAAAATTGGAAGAACAAGGGCCTAGCGTGTGAAAAATTGGAAGAACAAGGGCCTAGTGTGTGCAAAATTGAAAGAACAAGGGCCTAGCGTGTGCCAAATTGCAAGAACAAAGGCCTAGTGTGTGCAAAATTGGAAGAACAAGGGCCTAGCGTGTGCCAAATTGCAGGAACAAAGGCCTAGCGTGCGCAAAATTGGAAGAACAAGGGCCTAGCGTGTGCAAAATTGGAAGAACAAGGGCCTAGCGTGTGCAAAATTGGAAGAACAAGGGCCTAGCGTGTGCAAAATCGGAAGAACAAGAGCCTAGTGTGTGCAAAATTGGAAGAACAAGGGCATAGCATGTGCCAAATTGGAAGAACAAAGGCCTAGCGTGTGCAAAATTGCAAGAACAAGGGCCTAGCGTGTGCAAAATTGGAAGAACAAGGGCCTAGCGTGTGCCAAATTGCAAGAACAAAGGCCTAGTGTGTGCAAAATTGGAAGAACAAGTGCCTAGCATGTGCAAAATTGGAAGAACAAGGGCCTAGCGTGTGCCAAATTGCAAGAAGAAAGGCCTAGTGTGTGCAAAATTGAAAGAACAAGGGCCTAGAGTGTGCAAAATTGGAAGAACAAGGGCCTAGCGTGTGCAAAATTGGAAGAACAAGGGCCTAGCGTGTGCGAAATTGCAAGAACAAGGGCCTACTGTGTGCAAAATTGGAAGAACAAGGGCCTAGCGTGTGCCAAATTGCAAGAACAAAGGCCTAGCGTGCGCAAAATTGGAAGAACAAGGGCCTAGCGTGTGCAAAATTGGAAGTACAAGGGCCTAGCGTGTGCAAAATTGGAAGAACAAGGGCCTAGCGTGTGCCAAATTGCAAGAAGAATGGCCTAGTGTGTGCAAAATTGGAAGAACAAGGTCCTAGCGTGTGCAAAATTGCAAGAACAAGGGCCTAGTGTGTGCCAAATTGGAAGAACAAGGGCCTAGCGTGTGCCAAATTGCAGGAACAAAGGCCTAGCGTGTGCAAAATTGGAAGAACAAGGGCCTAGCGTGTGCAAAATTGGAAGAACAAGGGCCTAGCGTGTGCAAAATTGGAAGAACAAGGGCCTAACGTGTGCAAAATCGGAAGAACAAGAGCCTAGTGTGTGCAAAATTGGAAGAACAAGGGCCTAGCATGTGCCAAATTGGAAGAACAAAGGCCTAGCGTGTGCAAAATTGCAAGAACAAGGGCCTAGCGTGTGCAAAATTGGAAGAACAAGGGCCTAGCGTGTGCCAAATTGCAAGAACAAAGGCCTAGTGTGTGCAAAATTGGAAAAACAAGTGCCTAGCGTGTGCAAAATTGGAAGAACAAGGCCTAGCGTGTGCAAAATTGGAAGAACAAGGGCCTAGCGTGTGCAAAATTGGAAGAACAAGGGCCTAGCGTGTGCGAAATTGGAAGAACAAGAGCCTAGCGTGTGCAAAATTGGAAGATTAAGGGCCTAGCGTGTGCAAAATTGGAAGAACAAGGGCCTAGCATTTGCAAAATTGCAAGAACAAATGCCTAGCGTGTGCAAAATTGCAAGAACAAGGGCCTAGCATGTGCAAAATTGGACGAACAAGGGCCTAGCGTGTGCAAAATTGCAAGAACAAAGGCCTTGCGTGTGCAAAATTGGAAGAACAAGGGCCTAGCATGTGCAAAATTGCAAGAACAAGGGCCTAGCGTGTGCAAAATTGGAAGAACAAGGGCCTAGCGTGTGCAAAATTGGAAGAACAAGGGCCTAGCGTGTGCCAAATTGCAAGAACAAAGGCCTAGTGTGTGCAAAATTGGAAGAACAAGGGCCTAGCGTGTGCAAAATTGGAAGAACAAGGGCCTAGCGTGTGCAAAATTGGAATAACAAGGGCCTAGCGTGTGCAAAATTGAAGAACAAGGGCCTAGCGTGTGCAAAATTGGAAGAACAAGGGCCTAGCGTGTGCAAAATTGGAAGAACAAGGGCCTAGCGTGTGCGAAATTGCAAGAACAAGGGCCTAGCGTGTGCAAAATTGGAAGAACAAGGGCCTAGCGTGTGCCAAATTGCAAGAACAAGGGCCTAGCGTGCCCAAAATTGGAAGAACAAGGGCCTAGCATGTGCCAAATTGCAAGAACAAGGGCCTAGCGTGTGCAAAATTGGAAGAACAAGGGCCTAGCGTGTGCAAAATTGGAAGAACAAAGGCCTAGCGTGTGCAAAATTGGAAGAACAAGGGCCTAGCGTGTGCAAAATTGCAAGAACAAGGGCCTAGCGTGTGCAAAATTGGAAGAACAAGGGCCTAGTGTGTGCAAAATTGCAAGAACAAGGGCCTAGCGTGTGCAAAATTGGAAGAACAAGGGCCTAGCGTGTGCCAAATTGCAGGAACAAAGGCCTAGCGTGTGCAAAATTGGAAGAACAAGGGCCTAGCGTGTGCAAAATTGGATGAACAAGGGCGTAGCGTGTGCAAAATTGGAAGAACAAGGGCCTAGCGTGTGCAAAATCGGAAGAACAAGAGCCTAGCGTGTGCACAATTGGAAGAACAAGGGCCTAGCATGTGCCAAATTGGAAGAACAAAGGCCTAGCGTGTGCAAAATCGCAAGAACAAGGGCCTAGCGTGTGCAAAATTGGAAGAACAAGGGCCTAGCGTGTGCCAAATTGCAAGAACAAAGGCCTAGCGTGTGCAAAATTGGAAAAACAAGTGCCTAGCGTGTGCAAAATTGGAAGAACAAGGCCTAGCGTGTGCAAAATTGGAAGAACAAGGGCCTAGCGTGTGCAAAATTGGAAGAACAAGGGCCTAGCGTGTGCGAAATTGGAAGAACAAGGGCCTAGCGTGTGCAAAATTGGAAGATTAAAGGCCTAGCGTGTGCAAAATTGGAAGAACAAGGGCCTAGCATTTGCGAAATTGGAAGAACAAGGGCCTAGCGTGTGCAAAATTGCAAGAACAAGGGCCTAGTTTGTGCAAAATTGGAAGAACAAGGGCCTAGCGTGTGCAAAATTGCAAGAACAAATGCCTAGCGTGAGCAAAATTGGAAGAACAAGGGCCTAGTATGTGCAAAATTGCAAGAACAAGGGCCTAGCGTGTGCAAAATTGGAAGAACAAGGGCCTAGCGTATGCGAAATTGGAAGAACAATGGCCTAGCGTGTGCAAAATTGCAAGAACAAGGGCCTAGTGTGTGCAAAATTGGAAGAACAAGGGCCTAGCGTGTGCAAAATTGGAAGAACAAGGGCCTAGCGTGTGCAAAATTGGAAGAACAAGGGCCTAGCGTGTGCAAAATTGGAAGAACAAGGACCTAGCGTGTGCAAAATTGCAAGAACAAGGGCCTAGAGTGTGCAAAATTGCAAGAACAAGGGCCTAGTGTGTGCAAAATTGGAAGAACAAGGGCCTAGCGTGTGCCAAATTGCAAGAACAAAGGCCTAGTGTGTGCAAAATTGGAAGAACAAGTACCTATCATGTGCAAAATTGGAAGAACAAGGGCCTAGCGTGTGCCAAATTGCAAGAAGAAAGGCCTAGTGTGTGCAAAATTAGAAGAACAAGGGCCTAGCATGTGTAAAATTGGAAGAACAAGGGCCTAGCGTGTACAAAATTGGAAGAACAAGGGCCTAGCGTGTGCAAAATTGGAAGAACAAGGGCCTAGCGTGTGCAAAAGTTGAAGAACAAGGGCCTAGAGTGTGCAAAATTGGAAGAACAAGGGCCTAGCGTGTGCAAAATTGGAAGAACAAGGGCCTAGCGTGTGCAAAATTGCAAGAACAAGGGCCTAGTGTGTGCAAAATTGGAAGAACAAGGGCCTAGCCTGTGCCAAATTGCAAGAACAAAGGCCTAGTGTGTGCAAAATTGGAAGAACAAGTGCCTAGCGTGTGCAAAATTGGAAGAACAGGGGCCTAGCGTGTGCAAAATTGGAAGAACAAGGGCCTAGCGTGTGCAAAATTGAAAGAACAAGGGCCTAGCGTGTGCAAAAGTTGAAGAACAAGGGCCTAGCGTGTGCAAAATTGGAAGAACAAGGGCCTAGCGTGTGCAAAATTGGAAGAACAAGCGCCTAGCGTGTGCAAAATTGCAAGAACAAGGGCCTAGTGTGTGCAAAATTGGAAGAACAAGGGCCTAGCCTGTGCCAAATTGCAAGAACAAGGGCCTAGCGTGTGCCAAATTGCAAGAACAAGGGCCTAGCGTGCCCAAAATTGGAAGAACAAGGGCCTAGCGTGTGCCAAATTGCAAGAACAAGGGCCTAGCGTGTGCAAAATTGGAAGAACAAAGGCCTAGCGTGTGCAAAATTGGAAGAACAAAGGCCTAGCGTGTGCAAAATTGGAAGAACAAGGGCCTAGCGTGTGCAAAATTGCAAGAACAAGGGCCTAGCGTGTGCAAAATTGGAAGAACAAGGGCCTAGCGTGTGCAAAATTGGAAGAACAAGGGCCTAGCGTGTGTAAAATTGGAAGAACAAGGGCCTAGCGTGTGCAAAATTGCAAGAATAAGGGCCTAGTGTGTGCAAAATTGAAAGAACAAGGGCCTAGCGTGTGCCGAATTGCAAGAACAAAGGCCTAGTGTGTGCAAAATTGGAAGAACAAGTGCCTAGCGTGTGTACAATTGGAAGAATAAGGGCCTAGCGTGTGCAAAATTGGAAGAACAAGGGCCTAGCGTGTGCAAAACAGGAAGAACAAGGGCCTAGCGTGTGCAAAATTGTAAGAACAAGGGCCTAGTGTGTGCAAAATTGGAAGAACAAGGGCCTAGCCTGTGCCAAATTGCAAGAACAAAGGCCTAGTGTGTGCAAAATTGGAAGAACGAGTGCCTCGCGTGTGCAAAATTGGAAGAACAAGGGCCTAGCATGTGCCAAATTGC